TCTCCCCCTCACTGATCCTCTGTGTCAATGTCTCCCCTCTCCTTCCCAGTCTCTCTCTTCCCCCTCTGCCTCTTTCTTCCCCTCCCCTTGTGTGTCTCTCTCTCATTTCTCCCTCTTTGTCTCTCTCTTCCCCCTCTGCCTCTTTCACCCCCTTTCCCTGTGTCTCTCCCTCCTCCCCATCTCACTGCCTCCCCCCTTTCCCTGTGTCTCTCCCTCCTCCCCATCTCTCTCCCTCCCCCCTTTCCCTGTCTCTCCCTCCAACCCATCTCTCCCCCCCTTTCCCTGTGTCTCTCGCCTCTCCCCATCTCTCTCCCTCCAACCCATCCCCCCCTTTCTCTGTGTCTCTCCCCATCTCTCTTCCTCCCCCCTTTCCCTGTGTCTCTCTCCTCCTCCCTCCCCCCTTTCCCTGTGTCTCTCCCCATCTCTCTCCCTCCCCCATTTCCCCCTTTACCTGGAGAAGTCAGGGGGCCGGCCGCGTTCCTGGCTGGAGCCGCCGGGCCGGGTGGCAGCTTCCCCGGTCTGGCGGCCCTGCTCCTGTCACTGCTGTGGCTGATGGAGGAGGAGCATGTCTCTGTACCATGCTCCCTCGCGGTTCCTGTGCCGGGAACCGAGAGGGAGCATGGTACAGAGACATGCTCCTCCTCCATCAGTCACAGCAGTGAGAGGAGTGCCGCTGGACCGGGGAAGCTGCCACCCGGCCTGGCGGCTCCAGCCAGGAACGCGGCCGGCCCCCAGGTGTCGCGGCCCACCGGGAAATTTCCCGGTATCCTGGTGGGCCAGTCCGTCTCTGGGTCTGGGTCTGCATGAGTGCAGCCCGCACTGGAGAGCTACAGTTCATTGAGGGAACCATGAATGCCAACATGTACTGCGACATACTAAAGCAGAGCATGATCCCCTCCCTTTGGAAACTGGGCCACAGGGCAGTATTCCAACATGATAATGACCCCAAACACACCTCCAAGATGACCACTGCCTTGCTAAAGAAGCTGAAGGTAAAGGTGATGGACTGGTCATGCATATCTCCAGACCTAAACCCTATTGAGCATCTGTGGGGCATCCTCAAATGGAAGGTGGGGAGCGCAAGGTCTCTAACATACAACAGCTCTGTGATGTCATCATGGAGAAGTGAAAGAGGACTCCAGTGGTCGCCTGTGAAGCTCTGGTGAACTCCATGCCCACGAGGATTAAGGCAGTGCTAAAAAATAATGATGGCAACTCAAAATATTGACACTTTGGGCCCAATTTGGATATTTCCACTTAGGGGTGTACACACTTTTGTTGCCAACAGTTTAGACAATAATGTAACATACTATATATGACCCTGTAACTTCCCAAAACACCATAAAACCAGTACATAGGGGGTACTGCTTTATACGTGAGACATAGTTGAATACAAATGTGTGGATTTTATTGCAGTAAAAGCAAACACTATTGTGACATTCACAGTTAAAATGTCATGCTGAACAAAAAAAATAAAAATTCTTAATTTCTCACATTTTTTAAAATATTTTATTCATATTAAATTATGTTTCGTAGCTAAATATTTGATGTTGAATGAAAGCCCTATAACATGGTATATAATATGTGTGGGAGCACTTAATATGAAACAGGTGAATTACGGTTAAACAGACATATAGTCAAATTGCAAGTTTTGTTTTGATTACAACGTGTACATTTGGCTCAGTCCTTAAGGGGCTAAACATTGTGGTTTTTTTCTCTTCTTAGAGATGTGTTTAGTCACCCTGCATGTTAGCGTAGGTGCCATTCGATTTCATTTTATTGATTTACCTTTAGTGGTACATTATGTTTTATGCCATCACACACAACACTTGCAAAAAAAGGTATAACTATAAAGAATTAAATTAGAACATTTCCACATAATAAAAGTGGAATGTTTAATGCTGCTGATATCTGTGGTATTACTGCTATTCTCCAACAGATGGTACTACACTTCACAGAATTAACAATATAGATTTTTTATTTCACTTATTTCACTATATTAGAGAGAAATTTCCTGAGTGTTTTCTGAAATAAATACAAGCGAATATACATACTAAAAACCATGACCATATGTTTAGCGTCACAGTGCTTTTTATGTGTTTTACTGTTCTATTTTAAAGCTAGAGATTCAGTGTAATAATCACTATTATACTACCACTCGTTTGTGATCATTCATATCTTGGAAAAAAACATTTTAATTATAGTTTATGGCACAGAAGATAATATAAATCATGGTGTTTAGTAATGTTCATGCATATCTCCTAGGAGTATCAGGATTGCTAGAATTCTTACACCGGAAAGCGTGTATACAGAATGTTAAAGTTATACATTAACCACAGATATAGATCTTTGCTACTATTAAATATGTTATATGAAGCATCTTAAAAATGTAACTTGTAAATTACTATATAATTTCAGACAATGCTGCATTAATTACTTTTAATCCTCGAGCATATTCTGTGCTAAGACCAATTCCTGCAAAACGTAAAAGGTTTAAGGTTTGAAGGGGACCAGCTATTGGTGTGATAGATAGACAGACAGGAATGACAGGAAAGACAGAAGAGACAGACAGACAGATAGACAGACTGACTAATTTAGAAACAGAGAGATGGATGGATAAATAGAGGATTACAGATGTATCTCACTTACCGACCGGCTTCCATTCTTATGACCCGGTCGTAAAAACGAATGGGTCGGTAAGTGAGGATGCGTGCTGGTCTACGTTCAGGGAAATTTCCCCAAACATAGACAAGCGCAGCAGAGCAGAGGATCCCTCAAATCTGTGTTCGGGGAACATTCCCAGAACATATATTAGATGGATTCCCTGCTCTGGTGCATTTTTCTATGTTCGGTTAGATTTCCCTGAACATAGATTAGAGGGATTCCCTGCTCTGGTGCGCTTGTCTATATTAGGGGAAATTTGTCCGAACGTAGACATACGCACTAGAGCAGGGACTCCCTCAAAACTATGTTCGGGGTAAATTCCCCCCAACATAGATTAGGCAGGGACTCCCTCAAATCTATGTTCCACATAGACCTGTTCTCTAATGTGGGGGATCCCTTGAATCCCCATGCTAGAGAGCTGGTCGTAAGTTCAAACTGTCGTAAAACAGTTAAGATGTAAAGTGAGGACCACCTGTAGTTAAAATCTATACATTTTAGTCCAAAATTATGAAACATTTTAAAAATCTGAAATAGTTGTTTCTAGGCACTTAATCTATAGACACTTAGCAATATCAGGCCTACCTCAGGCTTCGTCAACTGCTCTGAAGTAGATTTTCTTTTTTTAAATAAGCATATCAAGTCTAACTAAATGTTTCTTAGAAAAATATGTAAAAGCATTGCATGTTCTTGCTCCAGATGTGTAAGAATAATAGAGCAAAACAGTTCAAGTAGCCATGGGATAGATACACTGCTGATATTCTCAAGAAACCAAATTCAGACTAAAATAAGTGCTTTTATGTAAGGAATAGACATTAAATAGGCCATTTTCTTCTGTTGAGATGGCCAGTTTACCAGCTGTGATGGCTCCATCAGATCTACCAAGATTTCAACAAAGCGAACAGCAGACACATAAAACATACAGTTTCAAATCTTAAAAGGCTATTTAAAATCACCTGTCTCAAGTAAAAAATATGTGAATTTAGTCACACCCCATGACCATAACATTTTATCCTATTTATGTGCTTGCTACATATCTCGTGTTTCAAATAATGGTTATGTTGTTTTTTTAAAAGGAAGATAACTCTGTAGGGAAGGAGTTAAACAAGCTTACATGAACAGCATGTGTTTTGAAATAAAAATAAAAAAAAGTAAGAAGTGTATGCTTCATTCTCATAGCCTGAAAATCATTGGAGAATGCCGGGGAAAATAAAACTCATTAACCCCTCAATTACCTACAGGTATGATACAATGATACATCTTATTATGATAAGATAGGAAGGTACTATTTAAGGTCTGATTAAAGGAACTCCGAGATAAATCATATGCCAGAATACTAATAAAATCCACATCTTTTTCAATAATAAATAAAACTTACCAAATGTATGGAGAAGGTGGCAAAATAATAATTATTAGTTTTTTATTATTTATAAAATATTTTTTCCAGGAAAGATACATTGAGATTTCTCTCGTTTTCAAGTATATTCTGGATCCACAAAACATTGCATCGATACAATAGGGTACAATAAAATACAAAAACAATATTAATACACAACATATACAAAATTTAACATAGAACAGGTAGGAAATATATAATCACCCATGACACATGCATTCTGTTTTGAGGTATGTAGAGAGGGATCTCTTAACGGAGTTTAGGAAGATTTGAAAGTGTGCGGGAGGTTGTTCCATAATTGCGGTGCTCTGTAGAAAAAGGAGGATCAAGACGCTATCTTTTTGTGTTGAGGTAGACTAAATAAAGTGCTGGTACTGGATCGGAGGTTATAGGAGGTGGTAACAGCTGGGGAGAGCATTTTGCTCAGGTAGGGTGGGAGCTTCCCAGAATAGCTCTTATGCACAAGGCTGGAAAGATGAAGGGTTTAGTTCTTTTAGAATGTCACAGTGGTGGGTCATGTAATTACAATGTAGCACAAAGCGGCAGAACGAGTTATACAATGTGTTGAGTTTATTAATGTGGGATTGCGGTGCAGGTGCATATACTACATCCCCACAATCAATTATTTGCATCAGCATTTGATGTGACTCTTTAAAGTGGTTGCAGGTTTTTTTAAAGTCTCCAGGATAGGACATCCCAATGAAAAGCTAATGGGTGATGCCAGAAAGCAGATTAGAGCAGACTAAGCATGTCTGGGAGGTCTATATGCAGAGAATTGTTTATTTTTTTAAAAGAAATATCCACAAATGTTGACATAATTAGATTTATTTCATAAAAAGGGGGTATAGCCCCCCATACCCATATGAACCAACCTCCTATGACATAACCTTATATGTAATCTGTTCTAAAATGGTCTACATACTGCATACATTACAATACTAGCCTTATATTAAGGTAGGAGAGACCCAAAAAGAAGGAAGGTGGTTAGAAGGTACATGGCACAAAACATTTCCATGTACCTTCTAACCACCTTCCTTCTTTTTGGGTCTCTCCTACCTTAATATAAGGGGTAATGTGCATTAAGAGACACAAGAAGTTAAGATGGACATGTTATCTTCTTGTGTGTCTCCTAACCACCTTACCCATTATATGCCTCTTATTCTCCTTGTTACCTCCTCTGTGTTACTCTTAACCCATCTTACCCCTTTTATGTCTCTTTACAAACTTACTACTAGTTTATCTGTTAACCCCCTACCTACCAATATTATAGCATAGATGTGTGGGAAAGTGGCAGAAGATCTTTATGTTCATCAGCCTGGTTAAACAGGGAACTCTGCAGTTGACAAGAGAGACCAGAGAGTGACAAGAGAGACCAGTTCCTCTGAGCACTGTATTCCACTCAGACAGCAGACAAGAAGATCCTCTACCAGGTCTTGGGTGGTCCACGCTGCAATCACTGCAGGTTCCTCCTGTCTCTCACTCAGTGTGGGTCACCTTCCTCAACTACTTGAATGCTTGGATGTGTGATTTACCCATTCAAAGAATGAATTGCTAGGTTAAAATTATGGTATTAAACCTTCATTTTACAGTCATAAGGACAAACAAAGTGCTACATATTGATTTCATATAAATAAAACATGCAATGACTTTAGCTTACATGTCAACCTCTATTTTCCTGTACGATTTATTATATTCATTGTATTTCATACAATTTTATTCTACTTAATGGTCTATAAATGTTGATTACAGAATCTATAAAATGATTTAAATCCACTCTACATGCAAGGACAGCTATTAAGGAGATTTTTTTCTGACAATAGACTTTACTAAGAAATATTACTGGATAATTAACATTTACTGCTATCTGCATGTGTCTGCTTCCAGTATAATTAGAGATGAGCTCATTTTCAGGATTTGGCCAAAAACCTGAAGGAGCTCACATCTCTCATGATGCTCTTACAACCATAATGCAGGCAAAGCTTTGGGAGAGATGTAGTCAACAACATCTGGAGTGCTGAAGGTTGCCTACCTCTGATCCAGATGATCAATAAACTAAATATTCCATTATGGCAAGACATATGGTAATGTTATAGCAAGAAGGCGTAGTCAGTTGATAAAGCATAGATAACCAGATCTGCCTACCTCTGATCCAGATGATCAATAAACTAAATATTCCATCATGGCAAGACATATGGTAATGTTATAGCAAGAAGGCGTAGTCAGTTGATAAAGCATAGATAACCAGATCTGGGTTTGGAGGGATTTTACAAAGGTGTGAAATTGAGACAGAAAGGCCCATGATGTGTAGTCTTTTCTATTTCAGTCAGATTCTGAGTTATCGTGATCCGTACTTATAAAAGAGTATTCTAAGGTCCAGATATTTTTGTCAGCTGCCATGTGCCTGTGCAGGTGCTAATCCTTTGTTCATGGACTGATCAACCAAACGTTTATCCATCTTATAAAGCCACTACAATTATGCAACTCTTCCACTAAATCACCATTAAAATCCACATTCTTACAGAACCCCACTCTAATCTGGATTCGATGCTTCTCTCTGTAGGAGAAGCATCAGATTGCCAGAGTGGAGATATTGCATGTCCCATATACCTTCCAGTTGTTTGAACAGATAGCAGATTGGCGAGACAGGAGACTTTGCTGGTATTAGACTACAGGTAAGTGTAATAGTTTTTTTTCTAACAAAGTAGAGTGCCTGCATTGAAATGCAGTAAGGTGCACATTTAATTTTAACATTATATATTTATTTTTAAATTTAGAGTATTCATTTAAAGTTTGATTCTTGAGCAAATGGGATATAAGTGGAGGGACTCACAAAATGTAACAGAAAACAAGGAGGGATATTGTAAGGTAGAAAACATGGTTAGCAACTCATCACTAATATATATAGTAATATAGTAATCAACCTTACGTTTAATGGAATAAACAACCAAAGAGAAAATATATTGCAGATATTTGGTATTTATCTAGATTCCTAGACTCATGCATCTGTTTAGAAAATATATTAAAATCTTTAGATTGTAATATCACGGTTATCTAAGCACTTTGTATAAAAGAACTTCAATGGCTAGCTCTCAGCTCATGGATAGGCTTCTATTTACCTTTTTGTATTGGTTGTTGTGTTGTCCTTTTTTCCCCCTTTAATAGTACAGTGCTGCAGAATATTGACATGTTATAAATACCAGTAATAAGAATAATAATTAAAACTACAGATTTCATGATGATAGATTTGTATTTAATTTCCAATCTGGTTCCTGAATTTCCTATAGGTAAACACTAGAGGGAGTAATATAACATGAAATACTAAATAAATTCAGAATGTTTCACTAAAACTGTTGGAAAATCATCAGGAAATTTTACATTGTAGACTGCGAAGCACCAGATGGACGTATCACGAAACAAACATGACAATGGACGCACAGTTCTGTTTGATTCGTGATTCAAATCTCCACCTATGGTTCCAAAAAAAGACATGATTGGTAGGAAAAAAAGATGATTGATGTTTACAGGACAGAACCTCAAGTGAGAAGTGAACAGTAGAGAGGGTAGAAATATATAAAATGTAAAAATATAGATTATTTAGACCTCCTTTTGTCCCCTCTGTCGGTTATTTTTTCAACCTTGATCTGTGAACCAAATTAACCAAAACGTCAGGGAAATGCACCTATATGTGTATATTATGTGTATGTTTTGCAGTACACTGGTCGGCCAATTTTCACACCCTTTTTGTTTGTGAATAACATTTTTCTTTTGTTGTTGTTGTTAAAATGATCACATGGAGTAAAGTCGTAAACTCCACGTTGACAAATTTTAGTCCATCTTAACAAAATTTCAAATTTTATGCGGGTACATTGATCCAGCCAAACCAACTTTTTCAGCCATTCTCAAGTCTATTACAGATGCGAATTCTGAAACTATAAATCTGTACACAAGTTTTATAAAGCAATAACTGTTTACTGGTTATTTCACAATTAAGTCTCGAAGGGAAAAATCGAAACCATTCGCAGCTTGTCACTTCTCCTGATCTATTTTAGGGCACCATATTCAAGTATGAACAAGAAAAATTGCATTCTGTGATAATGATGTAAAGAAAAAACATTTCATTAATATATTAAAGATTTATTGCCTATTTTTATATTTTCAAATGTTAAGCATGCATCTCATGCAATACTTTAGTATTTCTCTTGCATGATAACATTTATCTTGCTCCTAAATAAGTCAATTAAAACAGAGTATTAGGAGATATGACTTCATTTTATATGGAGAAAGAAAATGTAATTTAATTTCATTTGTTGAATACACCATAGCAAAATCCAAAGGCTATACAAGGTTAAAATAGTAGGTAAGTTAGTCAATAATTATATAAATGTATTTTGATTTAAAACAGATTGCTTAATAATTAATTTTATAATGGGGTTTTCTTTCCTTTATCTGCTAAATTTTTTGTTGGGTTTTATTAAAATAACATGACATATAAAAATAAAATTTAAACAGAAAAATAAAATTAAATGACTGATTTATTGGGTGGAGTGTTTTAACTACTCTGTGTATATTTAGTGAGGAGAGGGTTTTTTCAATGTAACTCAAAATAAGCACATTTTGTCTTATCGTGTTAACTGTAAATTCAAAAAATGTGGTACAAATGTGTCCAAATGCACTTCCACTGATTTTATGATTTCCTGCATTAGTTAAAAGGGACATTTCAGTTTCGAAATGGGCAAAAAAATTGAATTCACTATTTAGTAGGTATACATTCAATAAATACATTCATGCATTTTTAAAAGAGCTTGCAAATGCTGCAGGTCTTGTGAACTACAGCCCCATGCAAGCCCTCCCGTTCTTCTTCAAAAGAAAATAAACTCTACATGGGGAAATAGTCTATTAAAGACATCTCACTGAGAAGTGGCTAAAGCAGTGGTTCCCAAACCTGTCCTCAAATCACCCCTACCAGTCCAGGATTTAGAGAACACCCGGTTGTGTCTAAGGTGTTTTTAGAAAGAAAAAACCCTTAGACACAACTGGGTAATCCCTAAATTCTGGACAGGTAGGAGTGCCTTGAGGACTTGTTTTGAAAACACTGCTCTAAAGATCTGCCTCTGCTCATGCGTTTACATAACATAGAGTTTAGATCTGAGGTCTGGGTAGAGGTAGGCAGTGGGGACAGGAACAACCAAGTAGAGTGCAGGGGTGTTTCATTAATTAATCATAAATCTAATGGGAATCTTCAATTTTATAAAGTGCCTTTGAAAGGTGACACTTCTCACCCATATGACCAAAAACCAGGGATGTGGAAATGCACTCAAACCCCATACAATATGTATCTGGGTGCAGCCAAGCCGGTCCCAGAACCAGGAACCAAATACTTGATAATGGAAAAATAGAAAAAGGTCCAGGCACTCCAGAATACAAAGAAGACAACTTTTATTGAACCCACTGCCACTCACAACGTTTTGACACACAACGTTATGAGTGTGGAGTGGTCCTTTAAATTTTGCCAGAGCATATCATTTGCTACAACTGCGAATTTGCCAGCACTGAGTAACCATAACATTTTGATGATGGGAGCAAATCAGAACCTTTCTGTAAAATGTTAGTGTAATGGCACTCTTAACTGAGTGGTGTACATTCTCTGGCTCTTATCTTTATTGCTTGAATCTATCAGGATCATGTGCCCCCTATCCTCCTTTCCTCCATCAGAGAATTTACTCTATCACAACATACATGGAGCTTACCACAGATACTGGTCCATATAATTATTCGCTCAAATACATTACAACCTACTAGCCTCATGTGGGCAACTGAGCAGGATATGAAGATAGTCACTATGGAGATTAAATAACAAACTGAGATCTTTTTCTGGGGATCTCCTTATGATCTGGAAAATACATTAATTCCCAACAAATATGACTATAAACATTTAAGTCAAATTTGTTGGGGAGCAATCTCTTTTCTTAAAGTGACATTTCAGTCACCAGGACAACTAGAGCTTAGTTTCGGAGAAATGGCATTGTTTACATTGCCTAAGGATACCTCAAGTGGCAGTCACTCA